CATACCTGGAGGAACTGTTGGACATGTAGAGTTAACTGTGGGGAAAGAAAGGAGATTATTTGATTTATATTACACAGATATCACAACACACAACAAAAAGTTAATTCTTGGACAGCATGGCAACTGCTACTCTTTCGGATTAAAAGGACCCAACGTTATGTGAGTAGCAACAAAGCAGGACACTGGACTCACTTGTGATTGGCTGACAGAAGTCATTGATGGAAGGAAGTCCATATATGCATGTACAGATTTGACTGCTGCATGAAGTGTTGATGTTGCACATCTCACATGGCCAAGCAAAACCACTCTCACATTCACACTGTAGTCCATGGCTGGAGTTTGGATAACAGACTAATGGATATTTAAAAAGATGAAAACCATAAATCACTTTACTCTCAAACTCAAATTCAACAAGGCAGACAAACCTTAAAGAAGCAGACACTCCTACCTGTGGTCAAGTTCAACTCTATAATCTGTAACATGTTTGAGAATGGTTCCAGGAAGGTTTCATTGCTCAGATGCTCCCTAAACACATCCAATAGATTTGATGTGTAGCTTGAGAGGGGGATGCGTAATTCCAGAACCAAATCTATTTCTGTTGAAGTAAACAAATAAGAAATCCAATAGAATTAAGATTACCAACAGATTAAATCTATGAGGAGCAAAAGCTTTATCACAACACCAAATTTGTATTGACTTCTTTTAAAATGTGTTGGATCATACCATAGGTTAGTGGGGGAGATGTTGTGGTTGGGATGGTTGTTGTTATAACTGAAAAAAAAAAAATAAAAAAAGATAACGTAAAACAACTTGGCGGATAAAATGATATTTGAGTATAGTAAGTTTAATTTGTTTAAGGTACTACAGAGACAATTTATGTAAATCATATAGACAGATTGTTTGAAAATTTTCTATCTAAGGAAACCCAGCTAATTGCATCAGGTCATTGATTTTGGAGCAAGGTTTAATTTTTCAGATGTTCTCTAAACACATCCAATAGATCTTATGTGTAGCTTGAGAGGGGGGTGCGTAACTCCAGAACCAAATCTATTTCTGTTGAAGTTAACCAAAAAGAAATCCAACAGAATTAGGGTATTTGGTTGTATGCTTATACCATGTACAGTAATAACAAGTGAATGGGTATTACAACAGCTTTTACTGTTACTTTACATTTTCATTAACCTTTACTGCCTTTTGTATAATTTTCATTCCCTGCATGTAACTTCACCCACGGATCTTTAACAAAGTTTTTTTTTTTTTTTTTTCTCATTCTGGAAGTTTAGGATTTTAAGGTTATTTTTATTAGAAACAAAACAAATATTTTAGCATTTGCACAACTGACCAAATTGTAACATTCTTTAGAGATGTATTCCATAGAGAAAGCCGCATGGAACCAGGAAATGTATTTTTTTTTGTTTCCCTAAAGTAGAAGGGGTCAGTCACCCCATCGTCAGATTAACTTACCCTGAAAATTGTAATGATCTTGGCGCTTGATTGCTCTTGTCACTCACCTGTCCGATTCTGCCCATTTTTCCCAACACTGCTCATCTGTTCCACCTGTTTCGAGCTTCTATTTAAGCTACTTGCTACCAGGCATCAGCAGCAGATTATTCTTGATACTTTGGTGTGGGATTTTTCTAGCTTTACTTATAGTGTTCTGATTGCCTCATCCTGACCCATTTCTGTCATTGGACCTTTGAGCCTGCCTGCCCCTGTTCTGATCTGTTTGCCTTACCTGTCTTCCGATTCTGTTGGATTTTATCGTGGACTTAACCTGGATCTGCCTTTTGACTTTGCCCTCTGGATCATCCTGCCTTCCTTCATCATCTGCTCGAATCTGATCACCTATCAGTACTGTGTGTCCCTCAAGGCTTCGGCGCCTGGAACACTATGTGTGGCAAGCGCTGCATCTTGTCAGTTTGACCAGCTGGTATGAACCTCATGTTTTGGGCACGGACTGAACTCTAATCCAGAATTACCTGCCTCAGACGCCCTGGCAGCTGCTGCTACAGATCCACAAACTGTGAGTCTTTGCTTTAATAATTTTTTTTAAAATTATCCCACTGTCTGTCTTGCCTTAATACTGGGTCTCTCTGTACTGAGTCATTACAGAAAATCCCCTCCTAGTCCATGTTTACAGTTTTCGATTCAAACCTTTCCATGTCCTACTACTCACCTATATAGGTTGATGCTTATCTATGCAAACCAAGGAAAATATTAAAAACGGAATTTCTGCCAACTAATGGATAACTTAAAAGGATAACTTAAAGAGGGACCTACCCGCTCCAGCCGGTGAACATTACCTCTTTAACGACTGACTCTTAAAAATCATAGACAGGTTTCAGATATTACAGGCTAACGATGGTACCAAACGACCCATTCATCGGTTACCATTTGCATGTTTCCAAGCAATACAAGGCCTTGTCCATATAAGACTCAAACTCACTGCGGATCCAGACATTTGAATTGAGAAAACTTCCTGGAGAGGTGGCGAAATGTCTTCAAATCTTGGAAACCAAGTCCAGTGGATATTTTTTGAATTTTTATGGAATAACTTAAATGTGATGAGTGCCCCTAATATCCGTCCGTCCTCCTTCCGTCCATCCATCCATCCATCCGAGATATGATGTATCCTGTCCATTTATTTCTGCACAAAAGCAATTTCAAGGAACTATGGAAGTCAACTCTTACCCCATTGCTAAAAGCAAAACTGCAGGGGATCATTGCTGCTAGTTTGCTTGCCCAGGCGGATCAACAATTCTCTCTCTAGGACCCTGTACTGTAGGATGTCAGGGCAACAGGTCTATAGCCACTCAAAACTTTTAACTGAGTTTTCTTTGGTACCAGAACAAGACATGAGGTCCTACATATCCTTGGAACTGTCTCCTGGGTCAGACTGAGGTTAAAGAGGTGCTGTAGAATCCTACAGAGCTGCTCTGCAAAGGCCTTCAAGACTCAAGGATCTGGTGCTTTATTGCAGTTCTATAAAGAGATATACTGAAGGCATCAGGACTAGCACCATCTTCTGGTTTGCTTGAAAGAAAATGACTGGAAGCTGGAAAATCTATGACCAATCAGGGAAAAAAAGCGGCAGGCCTTCTTAGTAAATTCTGATTGCTCTGAATCCATTACTGTGAAAATATTTTAGCTTTAGTACAGGTATGCAATTAAAAATGTTAATCCTTTCAATAGCTTTACTTCCCTTCAAGTTGGATTAAGCATGTGAGGATTTAGACTGATGCAACTTTCACTTAAATCAAACAATAACTCTGCCCTAATGTAATCTATGATTCATGTCTCCATGTTTTAAGTACCTGTGGAAGTTGTAGTTGTTAGCTCGCATGTAGTATCATCTGCGGAGTACAAAGAAAAACAAAACTATATAAAAGAAGTAAAAAAATAAAATAAAATAAACACATTTTTGAAAGGCTTATAAAAACAGTATGCTTACTTGTGTTTGCCTGGCAGAACTCATCATTAGATGGAAGCCCATATATACAGGTACAGGATTGACTGCTGCATGAATTTCTGCTGTTACACATGTCACATGGCCAACTAAAGCCAGTCTCACATTGACATTGGTGACCACCAGCAGAATATGGATTGCAGACTTTTTCCAAGAAAAGGAAACACACATATTTTTAAGACATCAAATCTGATTCAGTAGTGTAAATAAATTAGAAAATACTCTTACGTGTTGTTAAGGAAACCTCTTTCACTTCAAGAGACTGTGAGAGGGTTATTGGGAGGGAGATGGATTGCACAGTGCTCCGTACATAGCTGAGTGCATATGATGGAAAACTAGAGGCTGGGATTTCCACAACAATGTTCACATAGCTGTCCACTGGATCTATGCAATGAATGAAAAATAAACTCATTTTAGAAAAAAAAAGGGTAATGCTAATAAACAGATAATAAGATAGTGTGATAGATGTATTTCCTTGTATTACACTGACATAAGACTCGGGACATGAGTTTCAACATATACACATAAAAAAATCAGTGTGTCATATAATTTGCTTCTATAGAAAATGATCTCACTTTTTTTTATCACTGTGGAACTGTAACACAAAGTTAGTTGGATTGCATCAGCTTTTACTGCTGGGAAGTCTTAAGTGGTCTTATGTTTGCTGTTCTCTGTAGGTGTAGGTCACCTTGTTGCTTGCTTAAGAAAGTAGCCATTATTCAGGCATACTTTGATGAATTTGCTAATGATAAAATATTACAAATTACCCTAAATAATTTTCTAATGCTTTTTAAGCTATACAACCTCCTTTTGCTAATTTATACCTCTGTAATATCTATAAAATAATACAGATTTTTATTTTCTACCAATATCTGAATGTTGCTATAAACAGTACAAACTTGATCAGATACATTAATATATATTCCTCAAGGGGTTTGGCAAGGTTTCCCATCTGACAGCTAAATGTTCTGAGTCAAAATTGGCCTGTATGTGGTGTGATATGATTGGCATATAACACATTATATGACCACAATGTTTCCATCATAATTTTTTTATTGTGATGTTTCTTGTATTTGAAAAAACTCTTGGCAATTTTAAAATGCTGTCATGTTTATTAACATTAAGCAATCTCAGCAGAGGCAGGGTTCCATTACAATGATTACTCACTGCTGCAGATGTCCTGCTAAATTAATTCTGTCACATTCAGGCAACAGTTTTCAGGATAAAAACGCTTCTGAAAATCTGAGTCCGATACAAAAAATGTAAATTTCTTTTTATTGTGAGCGACAGTCATCCCTTCCCTTTAATCAATCATTAGTTGTGTACTGTATGTAGAGTCTCAGTTATATAATGGTTTTCTCTTTTTCATAAAGGTAAACTGTGTGTTTCCTCATTCATTCCTATGGTATTTTTGGGAATGATTTTGGCAACTTACATCACCCCTAGCAATGGAATATGAAAATAAAAGTAATTGCAAATCTCAAGTCAAGGCCAGGCATTTTGATAACTATATTTTTGGGTTGTATCTTACATTTTAGGCCGCATCAATCTTATATAAGAAGATACAAAGAGTCCAGTTGAGAGGTGCAGAATAAAATGGTTTCTATATACACTACATAGAGCATCGAATGCCACAGTGGCATTTTATGCTTCTTGCTTTATCAAAAGAGAAAGCGGGATTAGGGAAATATTAGGTACTTCCTTAGAAAAGACTGCTGCTTGGTGTGTAGTTGGCCTGAGGCCAAAGGTTATTTAGGTGAGTTTGGTTCACCTCAAATCAAGTAAAAGGGTTATACACTTTAAGTGAGCAAACAAACTCTGCCTGAATCTCTACCTCATATATAAAATCACTGGGAAGGTTTTCCTTTGCACTTAAAGAGGGATTCAAGGTTTTTCATGTAATGCTAAAACATTTCCTCATATTTGATATTTTTTACAACACACTTTGTTGGGGCAGGCCACTATTAACCTTATTTATGAAATAATATTCATCCCTGAACTACATTGATTAATTTACTTTTATTTTTGTTATATTTAGTTTAACCACTAGATGCCACCAGTCACCTCTTTCTTTGTTCCTTTTCCTTCATCTGTTGCTTACATCTAGTTTATAGTAGGAAATGTTTATCTGTATCTAGAGCTTGCTGGCAACATACCTGCATTTGGTAGCTGTCTTTATCAAATCTCCTAGACCTAAGTGTTTACAGTAAGTAACTAAATATGTTCAGACTGGTATCGTACAGTAAGGTTTATGATATAATTTGTATTTTGACTTAGACAACTTTTATTGTCATTTTGTACACAAAGTGTATACAAAACCAAATTTGGTTTTGTACAGCTTTCAGAACATTTCCATTCCATAAAGTGCAGCAGTGATCAAAGGTAAACAGTGTGGGAGAAAAAACATGGTGCAAAAACGGATTAATGTGAATTTCATACCTTATAGTAATTATCACACGGTATAAATAGACAGCATCTTGGTAAAAGTAATAAAATATTTCTAAGAATAAATATGACGAAAAAACTTTCAGACTCACCTGTTTGGCTGCGGTTTAACTGACAGTACTGACCATCAGCAGGTAGGGAATTAATGCAGCCACATGTGTCACCAAGTATGGCATCACAGACTCCGTAGGTAATGCAATTGTTAAAAGACCAGGCAAAGCTCTCCTCACATGTGCACTGGTACCCATTCATCCCTGGTGAACACACTGTAGGAAAAAAATGTATAGTATCTTTCCCAATCAAAGGTTTAAGAAAAAAAAAAAGTAATATACCTGTTGTGGTTTCAATGCTGGTGATTTCCACAGTATTGTTGATCGGTATGGGAAAGCTCATATTGCTCAGAAACATTTGGATACTCTCAAGGTCAGAGTAAGTTATGACAACTTCAAAGTCATACTCTGTGAAATTTGTGAGAGCTAGAAAGGAAAAAGATACGATTAAAGAGTGCAATGAATACCTGTTGTAATCCTTATCCCAACATTGATATTAAATAGACATTTAATGTTTATAGTGACTCACTTTCTCTTTTCTCTCTCACATAAAGCATGGATGATGTAGCATCCTTTAGTTCCTGTAAATAATTCAGCGCACCAGATTTTTTAAAAACCTCAATCATTAACAGAAACTATCAGGTGTTTTAAACTATGACAATATGATATTATCTGGTATAATTTTACAATATGTGTGTTAAAATGTTAGGCTCACCTCAAAGAAGGTTGACATAGACTGCCTGATCCTTGGTTGGTCGAGAGTGAAGCATATGACCAGAAGCAAAACAGCAAACCGCAATGCCTTTGGAATGGCCATCCTGACTGCAGAGAGATAAAAATAAATATCCTTGACACCTTTAAGTGTATGATAAAAAAATCTCCTAGAAAGTCAAGAATGAAGTATGACCCATAATACTTTTTTGTGTCCTGTTTTACCAATATAGCTCAGTGAAAAGAAATCCTAGAGTTTATAATTGCCCAAAAACTTTGCTTGCACAAGCAGACCATTATAGTAGTTGCCATAAGGTTCTGCTTGATATTTGTATATTTAACTTAATCAAAAATGATTTGGTGAGTAAAATCCTCTACAATGGACACAGAGACAGAAAGGGAGCTGAGAAAGAAAGAGAGGATAAGAACTAAGGGGAGAGGGAAAGAAATATAGATAGGAAATAGTGCATGAAAAGAGAGAAAACAAAACAGCAAAAAGAGACAATACAGAAGATATACAGTTACTCCTAGAAGTCTGCTTCCATACCTACATGAGACAAGAGAAACACAAAACAAAGAAGAAAGCAGCAAAAAGTGAACAAAGAAGACCAAAGTAAAAAAAAAAAATCAAGAACAGCAGGTATTCTTTAGATTTTTCAAAGTCAATAATTGTACTGTTTTACTGGAACAAAGACGTGGAAATTACTGGACCAGTCTGATGCCATTCTATGTACTTTCTGTAAGTGTGTAATATTATCTTTGGAAGATCCTTGACAACAGTGGCATATAAATACTGCCTGTCAGAGGTAGATGGTTCTATCTTTCTATCTATCAAGCCTAGCTGTCAGTTGAGAATTTCAAAAATATCTAATTAAATAGCTTTAGATAGGTGCAAACCTGGTTCGGGCAGTAGTGACTCTGAGTAATGTATGAAAGCAATGCAAAAAAGCATAGTATGTTTTGGGTATGTCTTTGTTTGGCTGAAAGAAACGGTGAACTATAAACGTTAATGTTATGTCTTTTATAATTTTCTTTGGTCTTAATTTTGTTTTCCTCTTTAAACCTTTTAGGGTAAGACTACATCCTTTTCAGATAAACAGGTGTCTCTCTGGTGCCATTGCATTTCATCTTTCAGGGAAAACATGAGCCTGGATTGCAATCAGTGCTATGTCATGACTAGAGGTAAGTAGATAAGCAACACCTACAGTTTCACCCCTATGAGATCTGAAAAAATGCCAAAAAAACACCCAGATATCTATGAATGGAATGTAGTTGTTCAACTCGGTTAAAACTTTACATAACCGTGAATCTTTAAGTCTTATGCTGCAGTTCACTGACTTAGAGAGGACCCTGACACCAAGCATAGTTGATTTTCTTTCATCTTCGGCTCATGATATGATCTGTTTTGTTTTTGTCTTGCTTACTTCTGCCGCAGCATAAACATTCTCACAGTTACATTTCTCTTTCGAGATAAATGAAACACCATCAAATTCAAATCAACCTTCTGTTTTGATTTAAGAGTATGCTGTGCAGGCTTTTCATGAGGTTGGCCTTTGCTTTCTAGCCACACTGGCTGGTCTTTGATTTTTATTTTTTACTTTTTTTAATCTGACCCAGTAAAATGAAAGACATTGTTTTAAATTATGGGACATTGCGAGTGAGGTGAAAAAAATGCACTAAATGGGATCTTCTCAGAAATGAATAGGAGATTAAAAAGTTGATTAAATATATTTCTCATACATAGTTTCTTGTATACATTTGGACATAACAGAAGAGGCTGACCACTGATTTCTAAATAATGGAAGAATAAATGTTCTGCAGGAATGGACAATCCAACACTATGATACATTAAGGTATGCAATGGAATCTAGTGCTCATCTTTGACCTGCTGGAGGGATATAAAATTATTGCTTATCTCTATGCCAACCTGCTAACCCCTCAGAGAAGTAATGGTTAGCACTTTATGATAGTTTGGCTGATAATTCTACTCTAACCTAACCCTGAAACACCAATATTAGATTAGTGAATGTTGGCTTACAGTATAATTATGTATGTAAACATTAGTCAGGACTCTCTTATCCCGAAAATTCGGCTTTGTTGGTGTTTAAGTTAACATACATGTTTTAAAATCAGCCATCAAGATCTGGGTGGAATCTGGGTCACAAATTCCTACATTTTTGTTTTACTTTTTTCATTTGGGATTAATCTATTGAATGAGGTGGAGATTTAAAGATAAACTAGACTGTCTAGATATAAAGTCATTTGATTGTATAAAAGCCAGAGTACGTCACAGGATGATAATGAAAGAAAAAGCAAAGTAAATCCGTCCCCTGAATGTGATTAAATGCCTGACAACCGATTAAACCAGCTTGACTACTTATGCCTTTATATGAAAGAATGAACAAGTATGGCTCTGTTCCAACATGTTTATCTCTTCTTTGCCTTGTCTTGGGAAAATTGCCTTGTAGGTAAATACAATATTTGCATACACCTGGCAATTATTCAAGAGCTCCCCAGTAGAAAATATATAAATTAGCCATGCCATTTTGTAGATGCAGGCAGAAATTTTACAGTGAAAACAGTCAGAATTGAAAAAGAAAAACTGACCTTTTTTAATGGTTTCTTCATGATTACAACTTATAAATTTACAATAAAATGAACATTGCTTTTCTCAACAATATATAGTTTTGATCTTTCTTTAGTTTATTCTCTGCCAACTTGCTTCTACTTTTCTCGTATGTCTTATAATACATCTTACTTATTAACCCCTGAAATACAGTGCTACTTTACATAAATTGCACAGTTTTCAGGTCTCCAATCTTATTTTAATGGGTATGTTGCATCAGACATTGCTATTTAACCCAAATCAGTCTATAAAATGACAATTTTTCAGTATTCTAATGTTATTGAAGCAAAAACATGAAGAGCAAAATATACTCTAACAGAAAGTTGTTTAAGATTATTTGAATTCTTGAGAAGTCACCGTACCTGTTTAACTATCAATAGACTTACAATCAAACAGGTTCAAGTATGACTCCTTTTTTTCCGGGCATGCACTACAACAATACTCCTTCAAGGTAAGGGTTGCACATAGAATCTCATATATTAAACTATGATGGAAAAAACAATGCATGGCATTTTAAATGCATTTGGTAACAAAAACAAGTGGTCTTCTTTATTGACCTTGTCAGTCTTGTCCCTTCCGCAAACTTAGGCAGTAAGTGACTTATTTCGGTTATAATTTTTTGTTGAAGACTGTTTACATTTAGTAAAATCACAACTTCCTTAGCAAAACAACCACTATCATTTTCAATTAGCTGCTCATCAGCTGTTTAACAATAAAATTATGTGAACAACATGTCTTTCCCTTTTTTGGAGCACAGACAAGGGTAATTGAAACTGATTTTGTTTTGAAGTGGTTAGCTGTGAGGGAATACTAGTGTTAGATTTTAGGTTAAAGGTATAGTGGAGGATATTGTTTTTCCGGGTGGATCATCAAAATAAGTGGTCCTCCTAATTGTCCATCATTGTGGTGATATGTTTACATAAAACTTTCCTACTTGCTCGTCCCCACTTTCATTACCAGTAGTGAGTCTGACGGTAGAAAAACTACAAATCTTTTTTTTTTTAAAGGTGAGAGGGCGGGCCTTTTCAAACATTCTAGAAAATCCTCCACTATACCTTTAATAAATCAAGCTATCTTTTTTAGACCTTTTCCTTTTCTCTTGAAAGTAGCTATGCATGATATAATATGTGGTGTATAATTTTTTTTATGTAAGGCCTGTTAAATGAGGAAGTTATGTCCCCTTGAAGGCAGTTGCTCCTCGGGACTTACCTTCCAGTTCTTTTCCTATGAGCAAGTTGTTTACTACTCTTAACTCAAACTGGGTAAAACCATGTTAAAAGGACTATAAAAACAGGAGTAAAAAGGTAACAGAGTTTATTTCAGATCAGGTTGTTACGGGACAGAGAAAAATGCTTGGAGCTTGCACAGCTGTGGGCTCAAAAATCACGTCTGCGAGCGCCGGGGCAAAGATTTAGCCCCGAACAAGGTAATCTCCTGCTTCTTATAGCTCATGAGTCTATGTGTTGCACCAGGTGGATGCTTTGCTGTCCGTATCAGAAACTGACACGCCATCCATGCCCAAGGATTACAGATAGCTCTCCTTTATCAGTCAGGCTCCACGATGTGCCCATATCCTGTGTATTTTTAAAGACAAGAAGGCTGTCCTGATTAGATGACCTCCGTACACACCGTGACATCCACAATGTGAAGGAAGGCCTTCTACTCTCTCTAATCTGGCTAATAAAGTAACAATGCACATGATGTATAAAGAATAAACCTAGCAGCCTATATGAGGATTTGTGAAAAATTGTCTGGGGATGGTTAGGTCATTTTTTTTTTTCTTTTAGCGAGAAGCTGCTAGTTGACTATTGCTATTTTATTTTGAAAAATACACAAAATGTAAAAAAAAAATGTTTACAAAAGTTATTTTCAAAAGTTTATAAAATAAATTGTTTTCCATTTCAGATTAGTTGAAATAATTACATCAGCATTAAAGAAGGCAGATTTGTTCATATTCTGAGACTAGATCTGATTATGATATCACACTGAGCCTGGTTCTGCTGGAGGTTTCTTTCTGTTAAAAGGGAGTCGATACAAGCATGCTTAGTGTGAGGGATTGTATTTGAGTCAATGAGTCGATGCAATCAACTGGTTTTCCTTAGATAGAAAACTTTGTATCAATTTGACTGTATGATCTGGTTGAACTGTAAAGTGCCTTGAGATGACATGTGTTGTGAGTTTGGCGCTATATAAATAAACTGAATTGAATTGAATTATGAATAATTCAAAGACAATTTTGA